CCCGCCGCCCGCAGCCGCCTCCTTCCTGGCAGCCAGGGCCCGGGGCCGGCTGCTCCTCTTCAGGATGGAGCTGCTCATTTTCTGCCATCAGTGACCTTTTTTAGCAATAGTTTCTTGTAAAACTCTGTGGGGTAGGGTTGGCGCTTGCACCGCTCTGGGCAGAAGAGAAGGAGACAGCAAGCGTGACCACCGTCCATGCGGTGGGGTCCAGCCCCCCGCCACCCCCCAGCCCTTGCACCCCACCAGCCCCACTCCAGAGAGCAGGATGAAGGCCGGGACACCCGCCCACGCCGTGCCGAGCATCCCACTCCCACCAGCAACCCCAGAATGGCCTCCTCAAAAATCATGGTGCTCTGTCTGGAGGAGAGAGGACAATTCCCAGCGCCTCGCAACGATGTGGGTCTTCTGTTCCCGCGTTCGGCAGCTCTGCCCGCCGGGGCGCCCGCGCGCGAGCCTTTGTGCTGATCACAAGAGCCATTGTCTGCGTCGTGAAGGTAAAATTGCATCTCGGGAATTAAACATGAAGCATCATTAAAGCACAATGTTCTGTGGAAGGTAAAATCGGTACGAGCAGAATGCTGAGAAAGGGAAATTATTATCCCATAGGAAAATGCAGACCCACAAAAGGCAGTCTTTGGCATGAACTGCCACCAGGTTTTAATCCATCCCATAAATCACTCGCTTCAAATGTTTCCAGGTGGGGACAAATCTCTCCAGACAACCCCACACAAGAGGAAAGCCATTTTTACACGCGGTGCGATTGCCCGGGTCAGGTTTTATTTCAGGGCTCCCAGCGTCCCCCTCAGATGCTGGCAGAACCTCTGCCCGGTGTTTTCCTTTCTAACGCTTCGCAGCCGGTTCTTCCTGGTGCTGCAAAGGGCCACGTGTCCCCTCTCCCCATTACCGTGTCACCCAGTCATGCCCCATATTTATGGTAAGGCCCCAGGAACCAACCTCAGATGGCCTCACACCCGCAGCCCTGGCACCTTCCCCTGGGATTAAGCCATGCTTGGGGCGAAATGGGTGGCTGTGCTCCGCTGTCCCCCCGCTCCACCCCCTCTGGGGGTGCAGCGAAACCAGCCCACAGGGAGAGCGTTTCACCCCTACGTGCCATTTCT